TCGTTGTATATGGCTGCCATTTAATTGCAACTTGCAAGACAATTCCACTTTTGAGAGATGTAACTTTTGTGTTTATTATACATGCCATATAGGCGTTCCTAGTCTATCACTTACATTTTGAAGACTCTTCGCTAAATACATCTTTTAAAAATAGAATTTGCATTTGAGGTTGCGAGAAAAATTTATCGTATACGCGTATAACAGGGTGCTTATTCAAATTTATGAATGTACGTATTAAGCACAGCTAAACTTAGGTCACGTCTTTACTATATAGGCAACTTACAGCATCCGCATGTAGCTCTAGTTCTCAAATCTTTCAACATTCCAACAGTCAGCGAATGTAAAATAAACATGTTTTCACCATATCTGAGTACAAGACAGCTGCTTTAAAAGAATCAAAATACTAGTTAATTTCCCGCGTTTTTTATCCCAAGATGGCGGCTATTTACGTAGCTCGTCATGTGTGACTTCATGTGGTCTATACAAAAGTTTAGCTCTATTAAGACTTTTAATTTCTGTTTGTAGAAGAACCGATACGCTATTATCTTAACTTGGACCGCTGTGCTTACTATTGGGCCGATGGTGCATCTGGAAACAACATTGGTGGCCGTAAATATGTCGGAGGATCAAGGATTTTATCTGTTGGGAAAAATTGTAAGAAAGTTTATGAATTGTATGAACAAACACATCAGTGGATGGATGTGAAAAATCAAAGTTCTGTAAGATGTACACCGAACAGCAATGCTGGTTTACTTTTAAAATAGAAAATAGAGCCAGGGTCGTACGCAGGAATTTTTGCCAGCGGTGTAGTACGACTTTTTTGTAGTTAAAGTTAATATAGTAAAATGAAGATTACAACCAGTGGTGTAGCCAGCCTGACGATTTTGTCCTGCTATGTAAATTTCGAGTTATTATAATTACTCATGTCTTTAGAAACTTATTGTTTTCACAGTCAGTTAACACCAAAATATTAGCATAGCGGGACAAATCGACAGGCTGGCTACGCTACTGATTACAACTTCAGTGTTTATCAAGGGGGGGGCCTCTCCCTCCCCCTGCTGTGCACAGCTCTGAATAGAGCCGTACGAAACATTATAGTAAATGGATTTATATAGCCGTAATATATATATAATTTTATATAATTATTATAATAAATTACATGCTGTTTTGTCGCAAAGCGAAAAGGCCGTAGTGGCATGTTTGTTTGGTGTAACTGTTTAAGTATGGAAAAAATCGATCAAAAAGTATCAATATTTGCTTGTTTTGTCAGAGATCTAAAATACCCATGTCCAAGTCTTCCTTCGCACTTACTTATTTTATCGTCGAGTTATGACCCTGCTATGGCAACCCTAGAATCTTTACGTGCATGCATCAGTGCACCTCTTGTCAGGAGGACTTTTTCACCACACGTATACCGTAGTAATGCGCTTTCATCCTATACGAATGCGTAAATAAATGCTTCGTATTCGCAATTATGTGCACGTTGCTTGTGTCAGTTAAAAGCTCGTTTAATCAAAAGGGTGAGAATTCTCATCAGCATGTATAACCAAGATATAATATTGTATAAACCTTCATCTTAATACCATAATATAAACAAGATCACGTTTTTTGACACGCAATATTGCCATTACTATCCTGAAGACTTTACCCAAGAGATGACTGCATGGGTGAAGATAAGGGCATTACGTGTATCCACTCGCAGCATTTCACTTACAATTTGTAATTCTAGCTATATGTGTATAGAAATCAATGCACAGTAGAATTATAAAAAAAAATCGTTCCTCACCGAGTAAATTAACTTGCAATTTCATTGGACATACATTTTTTTCATATGTGAAATATTGTCGTATGGCAATTTTCTTACGTTTTTTTCAAGATGGCAAATAAGAAAGACAATCTGCAACGTCCTGATTAATTAGGCGGCTGTTTATATTTCGACCGGATATCTATAGCGAGATCACGGTTATGAATACAATTCCTAATAAAAACCTCTGCGCGTTGTTTATATGGATACGCAGGCTGGCCCGGTTGCCGAGGTGGAACCATTTGTGTAAATTTTGATATTTCTCAGCGTTTCTTTACACATTTTGGAACATTAGGCTAAAAACCAACAAACGGTGGAAATGTACTGTAATAGATGCTGATATTAATGTGATGTGAACTTTAAACGCAAAGCCAATTAAAGCCATGTAAAAAATTTCTATCCAGACAAGCGGGATGAAATCCTCTCATATAAACACAGGACAAGTTTATCCCATTTACCGGGCTGTCTCACTGTCCGAGCTTGTTTCGCTGTCCGATCTCGGCTCCCATATAAACAGTCCCAACGGCAGAAAGTTTGCATTTTTTGAGAACGTTAGCAAATTATGTCACTTTCATTTCGGGAACTATTTTATATAAAATTATAAACATTTACAAAGTAAAATGAACACATTTATTTGTTCATGAACAAACATGTCGATACCTTTTAAACAACACAGATACAATTAAGAACGGAGCGACAAAAGAGGAACGATGTATAATCAATATAAGCTACATGACATTCAGGTATAGACGTAAGTGGTTATGTGTTCCAGTGGGTGTGAACAGGGGTGACTATAGCCCAACTAATGAGACAGTGGGAAAGAGGAGCACGGCTGACTAGTAGCCCACTGAACTATTGAGACAGTGGGGGGAGAGGAATAGGGGTGATTAATAGCCAAACTAAAGAACAATTGCCGGGGAAGAGAAACAGGGGTGATTAACGGCCAAACTAGACAGTGGGCAAGAGGAACAAGCGTGATTAGTAGCCAAACTAATCCGACAGTGGGAGGGAAATGGACAGGGGTGACTAGTAGTCCAACCCATGAGACAGTGGAGGAGGAGGAATGAGAGGAGGAACGAGAGGGGAAAGAAAGGGGTGAATATAGTTGCCCAACTAACGAACTAGGTGAAATAATTATACAGGAAATGGTAAGCAACTAAACAGTTGCCTTATCAAAATGCAAACAAGAGGTGGGAATTTTGTAAGCGCTGGTCAAAAAATTGCGGGCGTAAAGCCTTTTTACAATTTTTACGTCCGAAGTGCGTGTTTGCTGCATTGAATGTGGCAAGTCAACGAGACCTTGCTCCATGGGATTGGGCTGCATGCTCTCAAACTACTCATAAAGATTCGTTAGACCTAAACATGAGCCTATGAAAAAAAATTTCAAAACACGTGGAAGACATTATGAGCGCTTTACGAGGGTACACCGATCGCCGCCCGAGCATCCGACGAGTGTGAAATTCCTATTGTTTTGATTTAAAATTCTATTCATTATTATTCTATCACTATAAACCCTGAAATCTACTGGAACCTTCATCTTCAACTACTCAGATATATAGAGAACTACTAACGATTAGCCTTTTGCCAAAATCGTGTGCAAAATTATAAATACTTTTTGAAATATACCTAAAATATGAAGACGAAATTCAAAGTATAACCAGCAAGTAAAATCTGTTCATTTTCGCCTATTTATAATCAGTAACGCTATAAGCTGGCGATTTTCAAGGTAATTTCAATTTGCAATTTCGTTGTAATTCCGCTGCTATAGCATGGCAGGTAGACTTGCCTCAAGTCTGCCCCTTGATGATATAAAATTAGTATAATGGCAACCTAAGAGATTTTAATGGCACCCTAAAAAAATTAGTATAATGGCACCCTAAAAAAATTAGTATAATGGCACCCTAAAAAAATTAGTATAATGGCACCCTAAAAAAAGTAGTATAATGGCACCCTAAAAAAATTAGTATAATGGCACCCTAAAAAAATTTAATGGCACCCTAAAAAATTAGTATAATTGCACCCTAAAATCGGGCGAGGAAAATGGCGGAGAGAGAGGGAGTGGAGAGGCAGACTTGTTTCCCTTGGAGGAATTTGAATCTTGTTACGGCTTCTGCAACCTGCCTCTGCTGGTCTCTGATCGTTTCGAAACCACATTCAGTTGCTCCGTATTGAATGGTATCCTTTATTGATCTCGTTTTCAGTATTTTTACATTGTATTTGGAGGCCTCGCGATCGTGTAATATGATCGGGATGTCAAACTCGCAAATATCACGCAATTTATATAAATGCCCCGCCTCCGGTTGAAAATTCAGCCGGTAAATTTGGCGCGCTGCAAGGGAAAAAATTTTTTTTAAAAATCAGCGTTCTCTGCTGTATAGTCATGTTACAACGAGTCACTTGGTTATCACCAGTTTTAAAATTCAAAAGTTCCGATCGAATTTCGACGAAGATTTTTTTAAATTCAAAAAATTCGTTAACATGCAAGTCTTCCATTTATTGCTGCATGGTTCTATTATACTGCAGGAAGTTAAATCGTTTCACATCAGTCAGTTCAATAAAAACCAAGTTCCTTAGTCTCCTGCCCGACTTCTTCGAAGCTCGATGTTGTTTGCTTGAAGAAAAATTTCAAAAATGTCGATCATTTGCAGAAACAAAGATTTATTTTAGCGCCATGGGGTACATAATATCTATGCGCATAAATATATGCCTTGTTATTTACATCAGTAATAGTTATGTTCCATAAAGCTGCTAGTAGCAAATATATCTCAGCGTCTGTTCGATTTTATGTGTTAAAAGATCTCAACTGTGGAACAATTTTTACTTCAAATCTAATTGGGTGAGTTTAAAATCAACACCAGGTTCTGTTTTCTACCAGATATATAATTACATGGTGTATTACATGAAATTTAACATTGAATTTACGTATACAATACATTATTGCCCTATAGACATTTTTTTCAACGATTATTGATTACTAACAATATTTGATTTGGTTCGGTAAGAGTCTTTTATAGAGGAGCGAAGTTATAGTAGAATGTACGGACGGCTTCGATTAAAAAATCAATAATTTAGATTGACAGCTAAAAACCAATAGCATCAGGTCAGACTGAGTACCGGAAGACGAAGCAAACTTCCTTTATGTATTATATATATATACGATTTCTGATTCTAATAATTCTGATAAATTATTGTGAAAAACTAGAGATCGAGCTCACAATACAAACAGGACGTCCAGTAGGCCTATACGTTGTAATGCGTAATAGGTTTTATAACTTACTTTGACAGGCAACAAACGAAGGCGGTAAGAATACCTGTATATAAGAACTCACTAATAATCGATAATATCTTAATATAAATCTAGCCATCCTCTCGAGAATCTGGATGTGGCTATAGATGAAACAAACACAACATTGCTTATTTATATAATGGTCACTAAAGGTTTATTAAAGCTTAGCTAAACTATGCTTGCTACCATAATAATTATTATGACAAGTCTCAGACTTGTAAGTAAACAATCATTATATATCCCTTTGCGAGCTCATGCTGAGTTTGAGGTTAATGGTTTGTCTGTCAGTTCACTAATGAATAGAGATATTAGCTGGGCTAAGGATAAACTGGGTATATTATGGTCAGTATTTTTTGCCCCGAGCTATCTTAGAAAGGGGCAAAACTAGCGTAATATAGGGGGGATTGAATATTCAAATAATCTGTTCTTCCTGGCAGATTTCTTTTTTACATACGTATTTCGGAAAGCCCCCTTCTCAATTATCGCTGTAGTTTTGCCCGCCGATCTTGGAAACTTTCCCTCTAGTTCATCAATTTATCTCACCAAAATATATTTTGCGAACGCCATCCCAGTACAAATACCAAACCAAATAGGTCAACTATGCGCTATCCAGTTTTTCGCTCGGATAGACGCAAAAGGAATTTTTTTAGTGTCCCCGAAATCCCCCAGTGTGGCCTTCAAGATATGGGTTAGGAACGGAGGGAGATATTGATTTATTTATGCCAGTTCTTATCTTTTTCTGTACACTGGATTTTTTTAGAACCTGTATAATGATACTATAATTAGAAATTAGAAAGTGGTAGTGCCATTATCTCCCCCCAGTTATCGCTTGGGTAGTCTTCTGGTATGTAAAGGTAATATTGCGTGTCAAAAAACTTGATCTTGTTTATAATTATTATGATAAACGTATGCAATATTTTATTGTGGTTATATTGATTAGAATTCTCTCTCAAATGTGAACATTAGAAGTGTGAATATGAAGCATTAGGCATTCGCATAGGATCATCCACGTCAAGAATATAGGAAGGAAAATGAAATTTAAAATATTTTCATTTCCATGACTATGGATGTAGTATGGAAGCAGTATGGGTGTAGCATATGCCACTGAGCTATATTAAATTCCTGGAGGACCGGCTCGTCATTTTTCGGTAACTTCGCCGCCATCTTTTTGGCGACACGATTTGGCCGCGAGCCGGTCCTCCAGGAATTTAATATAGCTCAGTGGCATATGCCCATAGTATGGATTTTGAATAAAAAAATCCAGTGATACACAGTAAGAAATTAATGGTGGAGAATAAAAGAATTTTGTTTTCATTGAAAAAATCATTGGGAAATGCGTATAGAGTCAAACATATTTTCCTAGATGCAGAAAAAAATGTGACAATGGAGCCAAAAACAACTGGTGTTAATGGAATCGTTAATGATGAAAATAATAAGTGGTCGTTAGAAAACTACCCGTTTATAATAGCAGTGATTGTGGCATTGGGAGCGTTGGTTGTTTTAGCGTTCTTTGTTTGGATGAAATGTAGAAGAAAGGATGTTTTTAACGTATGGTACCCTCAAATTTAATTATATATTAGTTTCGAAGTATCGCGTATCATTTAATTGGCTGCTGATTTTATTAGACTGACGTAGCCAAATGTTGTTATTTTTGTCTTAATTGAATGGAAACTTTTTTGCATAACGGGACTAAAACAGGTCGGGCTGGCTGACCTGTTTCAATTGTCCGTAATCCTGAAGAAGAATTATAACCATGCCTCTGACTGAATGAGCGAGGATGATTAATATAAGAGTGCAGCAGAATAAATTATGCGGTCACTTTAATCGGCTAACGTTTTCAAAATAAAAAAGTTATAGCAATATGTCTTGTTTCTTCCAATTGAACATTGTCAGAGCATTTTTATAGCATATATTTAAATGCATCAGAAATTTCCAAATTTTGTTGCTACGAATCATGCCCTTGCACGAGGAATGTGGATATATCGCTACTATAATGAAGTTGAACGAGTCAAGCTTCCGGCGTGTATTGTAAAAAGTTGCATAAGTCACATGCAACTCAACGAAAACATTTTGCATTTAGGTTAGACGTGCAACCATGCAAATGGGACCAGAGATTGGTGAAGTAAATGGTCAACCAAGAACAAATAGAACTCCTGGTTCCGGCTCAAGAACTTCTCACCAGATCAAGCGATCAGATGATGCCTTTTGGGAGTTTCCTAAAGGCAAAATTGTGATTCTTAAAATTTTGGGTGAAGGCACTTTTGCCACTGTAAACAAAGCGAAGATTTTACCTTTGCACGCCATGAATCAAATCAATTGTGGGATTGTTGCTGTGAAGACTCTCAAAGGTACAGTTATGGCATTCAAAACAGTAACGTCGTGAATTTAATTTATTTCTACTTATTTCTGCTATTTCTTGACAACATAGAGAACACAGACGAGAAGGATCGTACAAATTTTCTAAATGAACTAAACGTGATGAAGAAGCTAGAGCCACATCCATACGTCGTACAACTTCTGGGCTGCTGCACTTCCACTGGTACTGCGATTACAGTATTCTCAGTAATTCTCTACCGCAACTGTCACTGCTACCAATTTACATTTTATGCTTTGTTTTCGCCATCTGCATGATTTTCAATCAATCATGCATGTGCATAAACGACATTAGACTTCGCTGTGTCATTAAAATCTCATGAAAGAACTTAGTCTAGTTCTCTTATTTGGCCTGGTGATTAAACTAGTCAGATCTTTAATTGCATATCTGTTACTTTGTCACTATTCATGTTGCTTAGCGAAAAAACCAAGCTTCAGTCACTGGCGTCACCAGCTTGATATGTGAGGGGGACGTATTCATATATTCGTGTTTTACAATATTCACTTCTTTTCAAATTGATTGCTTTTAGGTTTAGTGAACGTGAATGTATGAATACGTCTCTCCCCCACTATTAGTAGTAGCCAGCCTGACGATTTAGTCCTGCTATGCGAATTTTATGTTATTATCATTATTCATGTCGTTAGAAAATCATTGTTTTCACAGTCAGTGAACACCAAAATATTGGCATTGCAAAAACACGCGGGACAATAGCTATGCATAATTTGTGGTCTCATGACAGCGTTGTCATTTTTACGATGCCTTCAAATGAGGCATTTTACGGATTCTCGATGAAATAAACGCAGCGGCAATGTGATAGCTGTTTAATAGCTTATATGAAACTGCAATGTTAGCTAGACATCGGAGGTTCTTAGCACAATTGAAACGTTTGTATGATTATTTCAAAGTAATGGCAGCGTAAAAACTTCCCGTAGCTAATTTCTAGCAAAATAATTGACTAACAACGTCGAGCTTACCGCGTCGTAGACTCGTAGATAATAAACTCCATACTATAGATGCTGGTGACGCCACTGATGATTGTATTCAATGCATCGGTACGTGAGACTCGCCGTGTAGCAAAATTAGTCGTCATAGCTAAATTTGCTTTTGTTATTCGCAGAACCGTATTTGTTAATACTGGAGTACTTGGTTGGTGGAGATCTTCTGGGTTATCTCAGAAAATCCCGTGGATATAAAGATCCTTATAATACTGGAGAGTATGTTCCAACATCAAGGCTGACAGAGAATGATCTATTGTCTTTTGCATGGATGGTTGCTGATGGAATGACTTTTCTCGCCCAAAATGAGGTAATACCGCCTTCACCATGGAAGTAGAGGATAAGCCTATAAATGGTAAAATACCAGTTCACAAGATTGTCTATAAAAACGCCAGGATATCCAGAAACACGTGGCCGTAGGTATAAAAGCTTAGTTAGGGGGGGGGTGTACATTTAGGTTTTCGGCTTATGCCCGACTGGTTTCTAGTCATGTTGTGAATGTGTACATCCTTATTTCTCGTACGCTAATGCTCGTAGTGCTTACTTTGTAGTAAGTTGCTGCATGCGATTCTATGCCTAACAATTCTCACATTATAGATAATCCATCGTGATTTGGCAGCGAGGAATGTTCTTGTTGGAGCGCACAATGTCTGCAAAGTGTCAGATTTTGGTTTGGCAAGGGAGGGGTCTTACGACAGAGAATCAAAGGTTTGTTACGAGTTATTACGATACAGTCAATTATTAAATTCGGGAATTTTTTGTTTACTGCAGCAACACATGCATACAGGTTCTTGAACAAAAACTTCGCTGGGCTACGATATGACTTAATAACTTATACCTATATAACATCTTAAAATCTTTGGTTATTGCGTAAACGGTTTTCAGTAAATATTTCAGTAAACTTAATCTTTCTACTGTTGTGCACACCTTTTTTCTGATTTTACGTGATTTTTCAGACTTCAGTAACGCAAGCAGGACAAAATTGCATCATGCGTGAACTCTTTTCGTTCTCAGAGGTCTAAACACATGCAGCTATGTTGGCACTTTAACCACATTAAGGCGCCCGGTTTTCCACGAGCGATAATTTTCGTGCGATGCGACGTTTTACTTTAATTTTGACATCTTTGACGTAGGCACGTCTTCCTGTTAAATGGATGGCTCCTGAAGATATATTTGCAGGAAAATGTACCACCATGAGCGACGTGTAAGAAGAGTTATTTGCTCTATAACTAGTATTTTATTGAGGAAAAAATGCATAACATTCTCGGGTGGGATTCTCAGGTGGGGAGGGATTTCAATTTATGTCGGACGGATTAAAATTTAATTTCATAATAATTGCAGCACTTTATACTTATAGTCATAGCGTTCCTTGTCTACCCTGCTTACAAAAAATAATAGTGCTCTTAAACAGTCTTAATTTTTTCTTTTATACAAGGTGGTCCTACGGAATTTTGCTAATGGAAATTTTTACCATAGGTAAGAAATTAACAAAATTGTATAATTATAAGTAAAATTTAAGTTGAATATTTACCAGCCATATTTTCTTTAAAAATAAAAACCCGCAGTAAATTTTCACGAATCACGATCTCGGATGTCGGTTCCACTTCGCTTCGCCCAAAAAAATTCTCGCGTAGTGGAAAATGCGTTTTAGTGAGTTTTTAGAATGTAGGTGTAAGAGTTAAAGAAAGATCGTTTCAAATAAAAAAAATTGCTTACATTTTGTTTTTAATTTTTTTGGAAACCCGTCCATTATTTCTACTGAGAATGATCTAAATACGTATTTTCGATTCTTATAATCAGTCAGCCTGGGTATTTTTTTTGTTCACGTATACGTACGTTTAAATCTGACTTCGTAACTAATATAAACACTTTATTGTTTAATTTAGGTGATTCTCCATACCCGGGATATAAAGGGAAAGATGTTCCAGACTTAGTTGAAAGTGGCTACAGAATGCCGAGGCCCAAGCATTTGTCGGTTGAGATGTAAGTGCACAATAGAAAACGCGGGGTCGCCGCGTTTATTGAAAATAATTTTGCGAATAATTTTTTCAAAAGTTAACTAGGAGGGTGCTTGACTGCTTAGGAAGAAGCAAAGATCAAACGAATTTATCTAGAAAACTTGCTAAATATGAAAGAATTTTTAGACTTAATATAAACAGTATTGATCACAAGCGATCCATATAATTATTAAGAAATAAGAGGATCAGATTTTTGCTAAGTACTAATACTCAAGGTGAGTCAAAAGTTTTGGGATTAAAGAAATTTGGTACCTGGTTATTTTATGGCGTATTCTATATGGCATCGTTATTACCTTACATTTTTGCCGAATGTCTCCTGTCGCTATTTCGACTACCATCGACACGCCTTTTTTTGTACGTGTTTGGTTCGATAATTTTTTGAGGTCAACAGGAGAAACGCTGAAATGATAATTCATCTACGTCTTGCAATAAAATTTTCTTTAAAATAATTGTCTTGCTACTATCTTTAGTTATTCCGTCATGGAAGAATGTTGGATAATCGAACCGCGAAAAAGACCACGATTTTCAGACATGGCATCGTTCTTCAAAGAAATGTTGGTAGAGGGTTCGAAGGTAGGCATATTGATTTTCTCAGGTGTCAAAATAGAATTATAAATGATCATTTTTTAATGTACAACGGAAAACCTTGCATGGCTAAGGTAGCGTTTGTTTTCTTAACGTTTCTTTAAAAATTTCAAGGGATGCAAACTTAAATGTATTCCTAAACGATTCTGCATGAATATTTTTTTCCAAAAGGCAAAAAGGCAAAAAAAAACGCTTCAGCAGTCGTTTTGGAGTTTAGAATTCACAGTGCCGTGCAACGTGTTACACACATACGTGCCATGAGTGTTTTAATTCTTAGTAAATTAATACATCGTTGAAAATAGCTGATCAATTTGATTCACAAATTTTGCAATTTCTTTTGTTTCCAGGATTACCTTGACTTGAATGTATTTGAAGACCATCTTTACGAAAATTTCGATGAAATTAAGCTGCAAAGATCAAGCATAAGTTGATGTATCTGGTAGTTTCGGTCGTATATAGGTAATCATTCCCTGCGAATACAATTCAGACCTGCATGTATATATTATTTTGTACTTCTAGCAGTATTTTCGTTTAACTGTCTGGCCTTTTTTAATTCAATTCCTCAAGGACCAATTTTTGTATGCCAATTTCATTTCCGCCATTTTGTGTTGGCAAAATCATTAGTTGTATATTCTGCAACAAAATAAATTAAAAACTCTACCAATCAGCATCAAGTAATTTTGTGATGATTTGGTTTAATTTCTTTGACCAATTTATAATTCCTGGTTTTCATAACCGTAATTAATAATTCATAATTTATCAGTTTTGTCTATGATCGGAAGCTCATCAATATATAAAAATATCTACTTCATTTGTCACCGACAACGGTTTTTAGAAGATCGTTGATAAATTACGACATAATATGAATATGAAAACCCGGATAAACTAGGAGCACCTTAGGGTTTCAAAGCATGGTATTTGATAAAAATAATGTAAATATAAGTGTGAATAAATTATTATCATTTTTCATATTCATAACATAGAGAGGCCTGAATGAATAGAGCCACGGAGACACAGGTTAATTGTGCTTGATATGTACTGAAATCTATTTATTATAGTTTTCCCGACTTATATAGCTACTATACTCCAGGGGTGAGTCAAAAATTTTTTTATTGACATAGCTATATGCAGATATAATTGACGAATGCAAATCGGACAATTTCCTTGTATGAATCAGGACCCATGCAAAACTAAAAGCCTCTTACAGACGAGCAAGTTTTCTATGACAAGTTTTTATGTGACAAGTTTTAATTGTTCGTCAGTACGTCCAACTTTGACAATTTTTTCTATGACAAGCACACTTGTTCAGAATCAAGTATACTTGATCTTGAAAAAATTGTCAAACACCAATTTCGCTTGTGTGTACGAGTCAACAAAGAAATTAAACCTGTCAAAGTAATGTGAGCACTTGTATGAGTTTGACCAGCGGACAATTGTATAATTTTGCAGTGTTAGCTAGCCTTAGCGCCGTACCCTTGACTGATTTTGGCGATAAAAACTGCCCAGAGGTTTAGAGGGAGTTTATGGGATATCGTTTCGGAATGATATAGAGATAAAGACAAAAAAAAACTGAATTGTGACGTTATTATTGCATTACAATCCTTACGTTATTACATTATTCATGCAGAAAGGAAATTTCGAAATGGCGCCTGTTAGCGCGCTTACATTGTCCGCTGAACGATTACATTGCTAACTGCGAACTAAATTGTCAAAGTAAACTTGTTAGCACGTTCACACGAACAAATAAAAATTTTCAAAGAAAAACGTGTCATAGAAAATTTGTTGTACATTCTCACTGCAATTGCCAATTGTGACATAGAAAAATGTCATATAAAACTTGCTCGTCTGTAAGGGGCTTAAGCTGACTACGATTCAATATATCTCGGACGATTAAAATGCATTTTAACTGCCAAAGGGAACACGATTTTTGTATATGTTTCACTTCTGTCAAATTACAGCAGCTGCGGCAAATTTGAATATGAATAGACAATTTTTTTCTCACCTTGGATACACATGCAAATAGCATGTAGCTTATTTCTTTTTTGTTTGCCGGCGTTCTACATTTCGTCGAATGTATATATTATGTACATTGATGTAGCTACCATTTCGTTTACTCCCTTGTGTGTAATAAAACACTATAAAAAATATGTTTTGAATCAATACGTGCTGAACTTTATGCTTTTAGTTTAGCATACGGTTAATTTACATAAGCTCGTTATCCTAGAAGCCATTAGCGTGTTTATATGCAAATGATAAACCTAAATAGTTTTTGTGATCTGTTGATCGATATAAGTACGTTTTATCGGCGTCTTATACATCCGCCCTTCCTTGTGGTAATTAAATTAATGATGTGTGATTGGTAGCCGATGCACCTGTATGCATGTCCGTCAATGCATGCAACTATATAGCTAGTATATGTATAAAATATATATTTCAATAGTTTATATTGCAGTTTTATTGGATCAACCATTTTCCCATCGGCATTCGGCATCGTTCCCAATCCCGTGTTATCTCACTAGACGATTCATGAGTGATTTTCGTTGATGTATCAAAGAGTTCAAAATGGAGCCGAATAATTTGACACGATTAACGTTTTCGAACAAGGCGTGCGTCTGTTTAGGTTGTACATTTTTTGCTACTTTGTAAACTAAAGTGTGTAAAGTAAATCTGTGTCCCCATTAATTTCTATCTGTTATACAATTGCAGTTAAAACAAACCCAACTGTAAAAAAACAAAACTGATTTGCTAAATTCAAATAAATAATTTCCTATAGGGACCTGCTTTCGTAGGCTTTTTAAGAGGTGAACTAGTACTGTTTTTTGGCTAAAATGATTTAACAAAAAAGTGGCTAGTCCTGTAAATTCACATTTGAAATTTACAATTCATAGTTTTGTAAATAATATAATAGACTTTTAATATTCTTTAACTTTTAATTTTATGACAACAATCAGATACTCATCTTACGGTTTATAGTACAGGCCATTAATTTGAAAGTAGATATATTTCAACTGCGTGCATGCATGCTTTACTTTTCATATACTTTTCATAACACTATGTAATATTTTTATAAGTGTTTGTAAACAAATAAGCAATGAATATGAGTGACAAAATATTCATATGTAGTTTTCCGATGTTAACTATTATAAAACATCGTAATAATGATATTTGACAAGTTATACCGGACCTTATACATTTAAATTTTTGTTGAAAGAATTACATTTTTATTCAATTTGTTGATCAGTACTGATTCAGTTTACTGATTTATATTGAAACCTCCTTTGCCATCATCGAGTCATCTCCTGCGGAAACATTGGCTATTGATTTCGCGCCATCTTGGATTGTCTATAAATAAACGTCCGATAAATATTAGTCCTTCTTTACGCAGGGCGGTATTAAACCAGAAAAATATCAGTGAGTTCAAGGTTGAGTTTAGCATAATCAAAAGTGTCGACCATTTCATCAGCGTCAATGTGGAGAAGCTTGTTTCAGAGTGTGCTATACCACCAAACATGATGATTCCAGGCAGACAACAAACATAGCTCGTAAGTACAACAAGGAAACATGATTTGGCTATTCTAATTTGTTTCATAAACCGTGCTTTCTTTTCCCTGTTTTTCGTCGTTGAGGCGTCGCCCAAATCGCAGCCTGGACCAACGACCCATTTCTTCTTAACAGCTGCCCAGAAAATTTTCAAATGCACATATGCGCTCAATGCAAGAAACAAAAATAGGTTTAGAGCATAGAACAACTTATTTGTCTTTCCTCCAACGGAGATGATGCCGCCAAGATACAAAAGCGTTTCCAAACTGGATATAGAGATGAAGAATTTGAAAAGTTTTTCTTTGGTCACTTTAGAATAGTGGATGAAAGGAAATAAAACACCAAAATATCTTTCTAAATTCATCGCAGACATCGCTACCATTGAATAGAAAAACAAGAGAGCTCCTATTGTTCTAGTGACGAATGGAATTGCACAAGATTTCTTTCCAGAAAGGTCGTACATAAAAAGCACAGCAGACAACGTCATAAAGAAAATACCGTTTGCAAGATCCACCATGGATTGAATCATGATAAGAAAGTTGGATTTTATTTCTCTCAATCTCCGACACTTCCAGATTGTTGCAACCGTAACACCGTTGAAAATTAATGTAGTAAATATTAGACAGATATTGATAGCAAGTGCAGTAGCGTATAGAATTACGCTCCAAATGTCAGGAAATTTGATAACTAGATAAATTTTCACGTCAAAGATGCGACAAGTTTCGATATATACTTGTTCATAAGTTGAGTTCATTTTTTTTCCTGTATGTATACATACAAATGTTATGCTACTCGGGCTTGTCTCTTTGTGACTGAGTATAGTTTATATATCAGTATATTCATTTATATGATGAACTTAAAGTCAAGCCCTTCACCTGGTCAATAATGATTTTTGACATTTATTATGGAAAATAATGAGCGGTTTTAATTGTCGATAAGGAGGTGAAAACGATTCGTTTTGATTGATGTATTTTTTACATCGACAGACATCGAGTTCCATTCTTAACAGTTACGCACTGTGGCTTTTTCCGACGGGCATTAGAGTAAGGTGGTCTGATAAAAAATTATAGGTTTAATCTCGTTTACATTAATTTGAGAAAAACACTCCTGGACTATACTTCTTAATCGGCAAACCTCGAAAGTTATTTTGAAAATACACAAAGAAAGCGAGAATTCACCAAATTGTTGATTTATTCAGGTTTTACCCCGTGCGAAGAAAAGGTATTCATTGCTTCATTCAGTTCTAGAGTGTGTCCCAAAAAGTACCCCTAACAACAAAAGAATGATTTCAATAGAGGGTACTTTTTGGGGACACACGGTATTGTATTGTTGTGTGTAATTAATGATGAATATATGCATTCAAAAACTTTTATATCATTTTTTGTCAAATTCAGCCATTTTTCACTATTGTGTCTGGTAACTATGGTGATGGAAGATTTCCAAAAGTCACTCGGCTTGGAATGTGGCATGAAAAGATTTTTATATTTTAAAAATTAAACTAAATCTTGGAATCACGAATTGTTTTGCAGAAAAAAATATCTGTAAAATTTTCTTATTTTCAGCCTTGTTTTCAGGCAAAAAAGTTTGCTATCGCATGTATAAATGCCACAACGAATGATGTTAAATATTATAAATTTAGTTGCCGACCTTATGTCTTTATCTTACTTTATACATAAACTCAAGTTCGCAACGTGGGTCACTGACTGCAAAATATGAAACTGGACAAAAAACTGCACAGCCTGTTGAGACAGCCATGCAGTAAAATTGTAAAATATGAACCACTCCTGGGGCCAATAATTTAAATAGTAACGCCCAATTTGTCTAAACCAAAGTGTTGACTTCATGTCGATAAATTTCTTCAAGTAATTTCAAGAATAATCTCAGCCCAACGGCCAACACAATAGTTGTCTAATATTCGTTAGTTCAGTAGGTGTAGGCGTTTTGTTTCAAAATATCAGCGCAATGGTTGTATACACCCGCACATTGGCTGAGTTCAATGTCAGCACATGCACTTTCCCGATAGAAAGGTTTAATTTTAATAACTTAGTACATACACACTGGTTAGGTTCAGTTTT